ATATATATATATATATATTGTGAACAGTTTTATATCTGGAACGCAGGTTCTAGACACACGACCAAAAACATAAGGTATAATGGGGTTAAAGGCACATCTTCAGGAAAATGTGTTTTTCACTACTCACACAGTGTATGACTTCAGAGAAAATACACACTATATGGACAAAAGTATCAGGGGCCGGTTGCATCAGCTGTACGTAAGTTACAACTTAGCCTAGTTTTGACTTAAATGGGCACTAAGTTACAACTTACGCACTACTAAATATTTTTTCATTGCACCATTACACTTAGTTGAGGTGTAGCTACATATAAACTAAATACTATGGAAGCGTCTGGTGAGGAGTAACGGTTGGAATAAAATAGCAGACTGAGTGAACTGCATCAATATGCTGTTCTTTTACCCGACAACCTTCAATCCTTTAGGCATATATGATGCTGCTGACATTTACACTCACGTACATATTAAAAGAGAGAACAATGTGAATAAACGTACGGTTTCTTTTTTAGCGTGTCTTCAACACCCCATCTACAGTGCACCTCTGTGCGCTTCGGCCTGTGTTGCGCATGTCAGATTAAATAAATAAATGGCATTTCTTATGTCTTTTTTCTTTCAGTATTTATTGATCCTTATTTCAATTACAGTTTCTGAATGTTATTTACATATAAAAATAGCTTACATATAGACTAATGTTACTAATATATAGTTTTTAATGGAAACTTGTTTATATTTTTATCGTTAGTATACGTGAGGCAAAATAAGTTAGAATGAAGGATAACTTAAAATTCATAGCATTTAAACAAGTTCTGCTCGCATATTTGAAGGTTTCTATTGGATGATTTAGGGTAAACGTCATATTATGCGACTACGCATTACTTTACAGAGTTTACAAACTACTTACTACGTCCTGCCTTATGGACAGCTGGTGCAACCAAACAATGTATAGATTTAGTTACAAACTAGCTAGTAGTTACTAAGCCTCTAGTGTGGACTTAACGTTCTAATTTAAGTAAGAACTTACGAAAGGCTGGTGCAACCCTACCCAGGACACCTGACCATTACATCGACAGGGACCTTAATGACATTGAATTCTAAATACATAGACATCACTATGGAATTGGGTCCCCTTTGTAATAATAGCTTCCACCCTTCTGTAAAGCCTTTTCACAACATTTTAGAGTATTTCAGTGGGAATGTTTGCCCATTCATCCAGTAGAGTATTTGTGAGGTCAGGCACTAATTTCGGACGAGAAATCTGGCTCGCAATCTCTGTTCCACTTCATCCCAAAGATGTTCGATGGGGTTAAGGTAAGGGCACTGTGAGAGCCACTCAGGTTCTTCCACGTCTTTATGAACCTTGCTTTATGCACTGGGGCACAGTCATGCTAAAATAGAAAAGCATTGTCCAAAATGTCTTGGTATACTGAAGCGTAAAGATTTCCCTTCACTAAAAGTAAGAGTCCCAGCCCAACCCCTGAAAATCAGCCCCATACCACTATCCCATCTCCACCAAACTTTCCAGTTGGCATAATGCAGTCTGGCAGGTTACGTTCTCCTGGCATCTAACCATAAACCATCAGACTGCCAAACAGAGAAATGTGATTAATCACGCCACAGAACAGAATCCAGTGGCAGCATGGTTTACACCACTCCATGACGCTTGGCAAAGCACTCCAGGAAGCTCCCGAACAGTTTTTGTGTTATTAAAGCCAGTGGAGGTTTGAACTCTTCAGCCATAGAATCAGCAGAGCATTGGTGACTTTTATGCACAATGCACCTTAATGTCACATAAATGTCATTGAAAATAATCCCATAATAATTTAATATGGCTTTACACCAATAAATATGATATTTATATAATTGATATATTTTTTTAAATATGATGGTTTCATTATAAATATGGTGATTATCTCTGAGGTGGTCACCCAACTTAATAAAATACATCAACCATGTGAATCTATCCATGTCATGCCAACAAATGGAAAAGTCAGCTATTTATCAGTTACTGTGCCTTTAGTTCTAACAGCAGGGGCAGTTTTTTTTACCCTAAAAGGTACCCAAAAGTGAAAATTCTGTCATGATTTACTCACCCTCAAGTTGTTACAAACCTGTATGAGTTTCATTCTTCTGTTGTAGCCACTGACTTCCATAGTATGAAGGAAAAAAATCTATGGAAGTCAATGGCTACCAGCAACTACCCACATTCTTTAAAGGGGTCATAGGATGCTACATGCACTTTTACAAGCTGTTTGAACTGAAATGTGTGTTGGCAGTGCGTGTGTACACAACCACCCTATATAATGATAAAAATCCACCCAGTGTTTTTTTTTTTTATCTACTCAAATCTTTACCCCTTTCTCAAATCGAGCCGATCTCAGTGACGTCACACAGACAGGCCACTCCCACGATAGTTTGATTGACAGTAGCATTTCAGCACAGACTGGACTTTACCTGGACCTTAGACCCACCCTGAGTGAGCTGTCATCCGTCCGCCATTATTTCACCGCCGGAGCAGATGTAGACAAGAATTACTCCTATGCGATTGAGGTGTTTTGTTGTTGGATGTAATAATGAACATAGCAGTCGTCATTTACTCCCGACATCTGAGCCGCTGAAGACGCAGTGGATTGCGTTTGTTTTTGAAGGGAATGCGCCCCTGATCTACATATGCGTTTATGTTCGTGCGAATCATTCGTGATCCAGCTTCACCTACAGAAGAAATGAGTATAAGGTTTTTTTAAAGGGGTCATATGATGTTGCTAAAAAGAACATTATTTTGTGTATTTGGTGTAATCAAATGTGTTTCTGCGGTTTAAGGTTCAAAAAACACATTTTCCACATACTGTACATTATTGTTTCTCCTCTATGCCCTGCCTTGCTGAAACGTGTCGATTTTTACAAAGCTCATCAGTCTGAAAAGCGAGGTGTGCTCTGATTGGCCAGCTATCCAGTGCGTTATGATTGGCCGAATACCTCAAGCGTGTGACGGAAATGTTACACCCCACACGGTGGCCTAGAGTGAGCAGAGGCCGGGGGCTAGAGTGAGCAGAGGCAGCGGGCTTGAGCCAGCGGATTCGACGAAGGAGCGTCCGGAGGGCTTGCGGGAACAACATGTCACGACCCCGGGCTGGACTCCACTTCGTCCACGGTGAAAGCCGATCCGGCGATCCACAGCGCAAAGTTGTTGTATTTCCTCAGCAACCAGCACGGATCAGCTCTAGGTATGACGAAGCAGATATCGTCCTCTTTTGGAAGACCAAACAAAGTAGTTTCGCTTTCACAACGAATCACACAGTGCCTTCACGACATGGCGGCGGCAACAATACTACAGCGAGAATACAAGTTACGCCTTCTTTCTTTGCGTGAACATTTGGACGGCGTTATGCAAATCTTCCCACATAGTGACGTAGATATGTTGGGGGGGTGTTAGAACGAGCCGTTTTAGGTAGGCGTGGCTGACTCTTAACTTTTATAAAGAATATCTCTTTGGATTTGAGACTTTAGTCTTTGCAACTTTACAGATCTTCTTTATGCCTTTATATCATATGACCCCTTAAATGATTCTTTGCAAATCGCCTTTCCTAATAATGTGCTAATTAGCAAGTTTCACGATGAATGCGGCTAAAGTAAACAGTCCCTGAGAGAGCGGCTCGGAAGAGAAGGGCAGGGTCAGCAGAACTCATTAACATTTAAAGGAAAATGCTACAGAATGGCTTGCTCTGAAAAGAGTTGTTTTTGACAGGGTAAAAAGGGTGTTTTTTACACTACCATTGAGAAATTTTAACCAAACTATGTTACAGACTTTTCATTAAGACCCTAAAGAATCATATCAACTTGTGGAAAATGGGCATCCTATGACCCCTTTAAAACATACTGTGTTCTACAAAAGAAAGAAATTCATACAGGTTTGGAACCTCATTAGGGTGAGTAAATTACAACAAAATCTGAGTGAACAATCCCTTCAAAAAACATACTTTTTCATGTTGTTAAGTTAATGAAAAACTTTTGAATTAATTATATTTAACAAAACTGAAAATCATTAACAAGAGCTTTGTCTTAAAATATACTTGGTAATTTTATTGAATAAATCTATAACACATTAGATCAAATTAGCATCGAATCAAATTTGGGTTGCTGTCTGTGATCACATCAAGGATCAGCCAAATTTCCACATGCATATTTGTCATTAAATGAGAATAAAATGAAATGTGCCTTTGACCTCAGTGCACCTTTAGACCTGTTGTACCCCATCTCTTATCAGCAAGTCTATAGAAAAGTACTGTTTAAATGTAAAGACTTTTATGGTGAAAATTTGCCCCAATTAGTGTTGCGATGCCCTCTAAACAGTCTCACTAAACACCAGAACCTCCACAAAATTGATGATGAGGCAGTTTACAGGGCCCTTGTGTCTTTCAGCCAAGGATTTTTAAATATATCTGCACTCCTCTTCCCTCACAAGAATCGTAAGGATATACGTGATACATATCATGTCAAGATGTCTTAAAGAACAGATTAGCCAAAATTAAGGTAGTCATCACTTCATTATCTCACCCTGTCTTTGCAAAAGCACCTTTATTCATGAAACAAAACAATTTTTTTTTTGTCAACTTAAATCTTTGAACTATAAGCACTAATTTGAGTGCACCCCAAATTCAAACACTTGTGAAAATCTTTTATGAACCAAAATTAAACTTTCGCTTCAGCAGATGAGTTTGATACAGGGCAAGTTTGTGAGATGTGCAAAGCGGATTTGCTCTTGCAAACGTAAGAGAAAGTCAGAAAAAGCACAAATTGGCAAATTAATCAATATAAAAATAGTCTCCAGTGACATATATACTTGGAAATATATAGTTTTAGGAACTTCTATTCCCAGCATGCACTCTGAGCCATGATGTGCTAAAGCAGTGCATGCTGAAGCAGCCAGTTGCTGAGTGGGCGAGTCTAATGATTTTGTTTAAAGCTTCATGTAGTGCTGCAGAGAAACCCTCTAAAATCAAGTCCACCTCTACCAGCTCTGTTTAGAATTATTCAACAGATGTCATGAAAACATGTCTAGGCCATTATTTCACTCCAAAATTAAATCAAAACTCGTTTTAAAAAATTTTATTTCTAAATTTTTTGTATTGTGATCTAGTAAGGACCTTTCCCTCCCCCAAATTCTCATTACCAGGGAAAAAAAAGCATGCATGCATGTATAAATAAACAAACTTTTCAATATTTTCCACTTTTCTCAACGGTGATTCTCATTACTGTCCTAAAACTTTGCATGACAATAAAAAGAAAAAACAAAACACTTTTATTTAAATCACATACATAACCATTTAAATTATAATAGTATTGTGAAATATTATTACAATTAAAAATAATTATCTAATTTAATATATTTTAAAATGCAATTTATGCAGGTGGTGGCAAAGCTGATTGATTTTTAGCAAGTTTTCAGCGTCACATTATTCTTCTGAAATATGCTGATTTATTATTAGTTAAAAATAGTTGTGCTGCTTAATATTTTTGTTAAAACCTGTTGATACTATTTGAAATAGCAATCTTTTGAACACAATGCAAAAATGTTTACTGTAATTTTTGAACAAGTTAATGTGACCTTGCTTAAAAAAAGAAAAGAAATTCTTACCGACTTCTACATCAACAATTCTATATCTTTCTTGTGATCTTGAGGTGAAATATGACCCAGACTTGTTTTGTGAGATTCACCCATTTGGTTCAGGGGAAATATTATCTACCTTTAATAAATGGGTGTGTGGACAGAAACATGAACATGGGACATTTTCTCTTTCCTTTCCTGTAATAAAGACAAGGTTCACCAATCTTAAGCTTCCTTAATGAGCAGCGGAAGATTACCTGATTCCTTAAGGGCTGGTGCTGGGAGGGTCTGTCTCTGTGTGCGTGGCTCTCACGCGTGATGGCAGATGCCCCTGAGTCCACGTGGACCGACCCCACCGGTGTGGGCTGAGAAAGACAAACCAAAACACAGAGAACATCAGTTCCAAGGTGAATTAGCTCTGTGTCTGAGCAACTATAGACAGCAAGATTAGGCTGTCTTGCAGAGATGGATAAACTGTGCCACTTTATTCTCTAGGCAGTGAAGACGACATGTTGACTCACAATCTGTCTGCCAACCCAGTCGTACGAGTAATCAAAGGTATATCCTTTTCGTTCAAACAACTCCGTAAACAAGGTCCGCAAGTATTCATAATCTGGCTTTTCAAAGAAATCCAACCGCCGGACATAGCGTAGATAGGTGGCCATCTCCTCTGAAAACACAAATGAGGATAAAGTTACAATGACAATAATCAATAAATAAGAGCAAGGGGAAATCTTGTCTTAAAGTCAACATAAAATGTTTCAACAACTCATTTTACTTCTGCAATGTGATATGCTGGTACCCACATGGCAGCTGAATATGTTATTGCATTTAAAAAAGGATTGTGTGCCTCAACTGATTATATTGTTGTTGACTAGTCTACATAACTAGTTGACTAGTCTAAAAAAAACCCAGAAGACAGTCAAAAAACATTCTGTTTATGCAATCTATTTATAATAGCCTACTTAATCTATGAATCAAACAGTCAAGTCCTATACTGAATGCCGTTGAAAAATAGGTTATATCGAGGGGTGCACACTTTGTTTCATTCTGGTTGTCATGAGAGCACCTGGAGATTTGGTTTGGTGCTCACACTGCACATAGTGTGACCCATTAAATATAAATAAAATAATAATAGTATTATTGCACTTTTAGTTGATTTTTTAAATAAAATTAATAAAACAAATAAAGTGTGATAATACATTTTAAAATAAAAAAAGAGTATTAAATAAAAAATATACTTATTTTATAGCACACAAACACAATGCTACATTTCTTTTTCTTTTTAACTTTTTTATATGAATTTTCAACTTTTTCAAAGCTAAAATCAGCAAGCTTTTATTTTGGCGGGTTGCCGGCAAGTAAGTACATGTGGTGCCGGTTTTACCACTGCCAAGTGAAATGCAGTGAATTAAATGTCACTGTTTTGCATTTTGCTCTTAAACCGCCAACATTTATGCTTTCCGTTTGAATGGATATTTTATACAGTATTACAGTTAATTGATCTAAAATCGTGTTGTTGCAGCTGTCAACCATGTCTGTGCGTAAACGAGCATTCAATTCTTCCAAAATCTGACCCTACTCTATCTGAATGTTGTAGCAGAAATCAAGACCCATCAGACCAAGCAACGTTTTTCTCAATCTTCTATCCAATTTTGGTAAACCCATGCAAACTAGCCTCAGATTTTTGTCCTTAGCTGACAGAAATGACAGAACAGATATACCTAATAAAGTGGCTGCTGAGTGTATTTATTAAAATCAGCTGAATCAATAGGCAGCGACCAACAACTACAAACATATAAGCCTATTATAAAGCCCACATACACCTGACAGAAGTTTGGCCTGTACCAACTAAACATTGTTTAAGGGTATTCTGTTCATTAGGACATTGATATAGGACCTGCTGCTGTCAAGTAAGTTACTTTTTTTTTGGATTGTTTGTTTATTGCATAAAAAAATATTTATCTTCTTTATTTCAACTATTTATCTTTCACAATATTTGGCCTATCGAGTTATTGAAGTAGGTTTCATTTTTAATTTTATTCCCCTTTAAATCAATATAAAATTTGATACCGGTATTTTCCCTCGTAACAAGCTTATAAGCAAGCTTCATTTTTGTATGCCAGTTTCACACAGACTGCAGCAAACTTTTCTGTTTTCTTCTAAACTTTTTTTTTGGATTGTTTGTTTATTGCATAAAAAAATATTTATCTTCTTTATTTCAACTATTTATCTTTCACAATATTTGGCCAATCGAGTTATTGAAGTAGGTTTCATTTTTAATTTGATTCCCCTTTAAATCAATATAAAATTTGATACCGGTATTTTCCCTCGTAACAAGCTTATAAGCAAGCTTAATTTTTGTATGCCAGTTTCACACAGACTGCAGCAAACTTTTCTGTTTTCTTCTAAATCAAATTACTATCTCAACGTGCTCATCTTCTGAGTGGACAATTCCCTGAACCTGCCGCGAGTTACACTGAGAAAACAAACACACCAAGCTCTGATGCAATATGAAATGATTTTGTTTTCCATTCAAGATATACTGTATATAAGCAATGTGTAATTTTTTAAAAAGTATCATTAACATGATAGTAATTTGAAGCAGCAGCAGTATCTTTTAGTCGACTAGTCTTGCGCAACCCTATTACAAAGAAACCTTATATTTCCTTTGGAATAATGTGCACTTCTGAATCCTGCAAAAACCAGGATATGTGTATTAAGAAAGTAAACAAGGTCAGTTCTGATCTTATGTTGACTTTAAGATTAGCTGATACAAATGCAGCACATGATGGGGGTCTCACCAGGAAAGTTCTCACAGAGAACCTCAATGGGAGTGTTTCGCTTTGTGTCCCCAATCTTCTGGTAGCGTTCCTTCAGTGTGTCAGCCTGCAAAGCACAAAAACAACAACGTCTGATTTTCAAGAACTAAATTAGTAACCGTTTTAATGGCTTAAACATGCTAGTTCAACATACTTTTAGTCCCTGCCAAGGGAGACTACCCCGGAGGAAATACATGAACATGTGACCCAAGGCCTCAAGGTCATCTCTCCGACTTTGCTCTGCAAAAAAAGTAAATAAAATAGTAACATCATGTACACAATAACATGAAGTTGGCTGAACAGTAGAGATGGGAATCATGCGGAATTTAACAAATCTGGTTTTGATTTTATTTACTTAACTATTAATATACTGATCATCGATCATATGATCAATAAAAAAAAAATCATTCCATGATTTGACCAAATAATTAACCAAAACAATAAATAAATATCCATGTCTTATTTCAAAACCATAAGACTTCAATTCATCTACAGAACAATAATTTTTGTCCATCCACTTCACTCCAAGTCCTTGCAACAAAAATTTTGAACAACTGTGCTTGCTTGAACAAATGAGGTTTGTTCTCATGTATCAAGCACGTTTCAGTGGATGACTAAAAAAATGTACCATCACCTTAAGTAATTTATAACATAACAGTAAATGTTTTTGCTTTTTTTATTCTGAGTTAGACATGGCATGACATGTGATTCACTCAGTATGTAAGTTGATAATTCAGTATCCAGTTCGACTGATTCAGTGCGAGTCATTCCAGAAAAATAAGTGACTCATCTTCTGAATTTTACAATTATTCAGTAAAAAGGACAGCACTGTCCAGGTTGTCTGTTTATTTCTTTTCACTGTATCATCTTGGGCCACCCATTTTTCCTCTGGCATCACATTCAGTTTAGATGACACAATCACGACTGAGGTGCTATAGATTCAATGCAACATTTAAGGAACCAAACATGAATATGTTCTTTAAGAGAACTGGTTCATGATTCCCAAACAGCTAATCAAGAAACCACATAAAGCGTGGGGATAGTGACATGCTTAATTTAATGTTAAGTCCATTTTAGGATCAGACTAGGGAGGTATCTTACACTTACCTTTCCCTAAGTGTGTATTAATAGACATGTATCTAGCTGTGCCGGTAAGGCTCTTGTGCTCCCGGTAAGGAATGTGTTTTTTGGTTTCTGGGTCAATGTATTCTTTCGCAAGGCCAAAGTCTATGATGTGAATGATGTGCTCCTTCTTGTTTCCTTGTCGACCGATGAGGAAGTTCTCTGGCTTCACGTCTCTATAGATGAGGTTTTTAGAATGCACATACTCCATGCGTGATATCTGGGGAAATTTAACACATGGACTCACATTACACATTTACATTGCAAAGCATCATTCCAACATATGCACGCACTTCTCACCCAGGTGCCACACTGCTCTTAAACTACAGCAGCTTCTCAGAGGGCCTGTGCACTCACCAGCTGAATGGCGATCATCAGGACGGTCTTGAGGGAGAATGTTCGGTCACACAGGTCAAAGAGATCCTCAAGACTAGGGCCGAGCAGCTCCAGAACCATGGCATTATATTTCCCACAGGGCCCAAAATAGTAGACCTGAGGCAGACCCTCTACTTTAAAAGAAAAACACAAGAAAAATACAGGAACATTAACTACGATAGTCAACATTCTCTCTTTAATGGTTAAGTGTGTAGTTTTAATGAAATTAGCTTTCAAAGTAAATATCAAGACAGTTAATAATATCGTTAGTTTTACCATCAGTTCAAGCCCGAAAGGGCAACAGAGTCACGTGACAGACACAGTGATGATCCAGTACACAAGCCGCGGTTAAAACAGCTGACGTGCTATGATTTCTGACAGGCAGTTCACTCTCCTGTGATGTGACCCTGTTCCCCTCACACACACACGACGCGTTACTCTGCGCAAAACTCCGCATTTGAACAGTCAATAGCAAATACTTAAACTAATAACAAAACATACTTACAGTCGCTGATTCAGAAGCGCCAGATTGTCATAGCAAAGTTGGAATTTACCCTTTTTTTATTTTTAGAAATTGCCTGTGCACACAGCCAGCCTTGTACTCTTCTAGGTTCAAAAAACTGTCGTCCCTAAAATGCGTTGAACAAATTCGAACATCTGGGTTGTGCTGTTCTGTTGTAAATAAATCTTAACCAATGATTCCTAAT